TCTCTGGGTCTCTCTCTGGGTCTCTCTCTCTGTGTCTCTCTCTCTTTCCCTCTCTCTCCCTTCCTTCCTTCCTTTCTTAATTAAAATTACCTACTATTTCTTTTGTTTTGTTATTTTAAATTTATTTTACTTCCTGAAGAGTCCCCTCCCTTCTGTCCTCCCAGTCCCTTTCCCCCACCTCCTTTATGTCCTCCTCCCCCAATCCACTCCTCCTGTTTCTATTCAGAAAAGGGCAGGTCTCCCATGGATATGGCATATCAAGTTGCAGTAAGACTAAAAGTAAGACTAAACATACACACACACACACACACACACACACACACACCTTGTATTAAGGCTGGGCAAAGCAACCCAGTATGAGGAACAGGGTCCCAAAGGCCAGCAAAAGAGAGACAGCCCCTGCTCCCAGTGTTAGAAGTCCCACAAGAAGACTAAGTTACACAATTGTCACATATATGCAAAGGGTCCAGGTCAGTCTCATGCAGGCTCAAGAGGAGGCATTTTCATTCAAACCACCACACAGCCTTCACAGCTCATCTGGTTAATTAGCATTTCCCTTTACTGTCCTTCTGCTATGTAAACTTTTTCTGGGGAGAGAGCAAACTTCTGTTCACTGCAGACAAGGTGGACCAGTCAGTTCATAGAATTATCTACAGGGTATGGGTAGCTTGCAGGCTGCTACACCACTGAAGATGTCTCTCCCCACAACAATCCTTAGCTGCCTTGTGTGTTGAGCTCCGCACCCCCCAGCAGCTGTTAACTGCCTACATATCTTTTTTAAAAAAAAGATTTTATTTATTTATTATGTATATAACATTGTGTTTCCATGTATATCTGCACACCAGAAGAGGGCACCAGATCTTATAACAGATGGTTGTGAGCCACCATGTGGTTGCTGGGAACCAGCAATTGAACTCAGGACCTCTGGAAGAGCAGTTTGTGCTCTTAACTTCTGAGCCATCTCTCCAGCCCCCTGCCTACATATCTTACGGAAGGAGCCAGGCTTCTTGAGTCCTTGCTCCTGTCCACCATGGAAAGTAAATGGCCCCCATCTTCCCTTGTTCCTGTCCATCTTGCATGGATCTCCTGAGTCCTCAGGGCTGCTGAGAGAGTTTAAGAGTTCAACGGCCATGTCACACCCAGAGGACAGCATCCCACACTTCCTTCCTTCCTCATCTCTTCCTTCTTGCCTGCCTTCGTCCCTCATCCTGCCCCCTTTCCCCTTTCTTCTCAGTGCTGGGGGATTGACTCTGAGGCTGCACACACACTAAGCATGCACTCTCTCCTCTAGATCCTTATAAAATATCTACAGGCTGTTGTGAGCTAGAGTTTTTGTTTTTTTGTTTGTTTCTTTGTTTTTTTTTTGGGGGGGGGTTCGAGACAGGATTTTTCTGTGTAGCTTTAGAGCCCATCCTGGCACTCGCTCTGGAGACCAGGCTGGCCTCGAACTCACAGAGATCAGCCTGTCTCTGTCTCCTGAGTGCTGGGATTAAAGGCGTGCGCCACCAACGCCCGACTGTGAGCTAGAGTTATCCCACCGGGAAACACCAGCCCTCATGCCTTCCTTACCCCAGCCCCTCTCTCGTCCCTCAATTCTTCCAAACCTTTAATAACTACTGTTTCACATTCTTCCTCATATGAGAGGGACATGCAGTATTTGCCTTTCCCCGTCTGGACTATTTCATTTTCACAATGTCCTCTAGTTCTATTCACAATTCAGCAAATGATAAGATTTCATTCTTTGTAGCTGACTGTATTTGTATATATATATATATATATATATATATATATATATTGTGTGTGTGTGTGTGTGTGTGTGTGT